GAACATCCATAACAACAACAAATCATAGTACTAGCAGTGACAACAGTGACAACAGTGACAGACTATGCAACAATATTAACCAAATATCAATGACACAAGTGAAAGCAATAACAGCAAAAGAGCACTGAGAGCAACAGAAGCAATACTACAGCAACAGAAGCAATACTACAGCAACAGAAGCAACACTACAGCAACAGAAGCAATAATACAGCAACAGAAGCAACACTACAGCAACAGAAGCAATACTACAGCAACAGAAGCAATAATACAGCAACAGAAGCAATACTACAGCAACAGAAGCAAAACTACAGCAACAGAAGCAATACTACAGCAACAGAAGCAATAATACAGCAACAGAAGCAACACTACAGCAACAGAAGCAATACTACAGCAACATAAGCAATACTACAGCAACAGAAGCAATAGTACAGCAACAGAAGCAATGCTACAGCAACAGAAGCAAAACTACAGCAACAGAAGCAATACTACAGCAACAGAAGCAAAACTACAGCAACAGAAGCAATACTACATCAACAGAAGCAATAATACAGCAACAGAAGCAATACTACAGCAACAGAAGCAATACTACAGCAACAGAAGCAATACTACAGCAACAAAAGCAACACTACAGCAACAGAAGCAATACTACAGCAACAGAAGCAACACTACAGCAACAGAAGCAATACTACAGCAACAGAAGCAACACTACAGCAACAGAAGCAATAGTACAGCAACAGAAGCAATACTACAGCAACAGAAGCAAAACTACAGCAACAGAAGTAATACTACAGCAACAGAAGCAAAACTAAAGCAACAGAAGCAATACTACAGCAACAGAAGCAAAACTACAGCAACAGAAGCAATACTACATCAACAGAAGCAATAATACAGCAACAGAAGCAATACTACAGCAACAGAAGCAATACTACAGCAACAGAAGTAATAATACAGCAACAGAAGCAATACTACAGCAACAGAAGCAATACTACATCAACAGAAGCAATAATACAGCAACAGAAGCAATACTACAGCAACATAAGCATTACTACAGCAACAGAAGCAATACTACATCAACAGAAGCAATAATTCAGCAACAGAAGCAATACTACATCAACAAAAGCAATACTACAGCAACAGAAGCAATACTACAGCAACAGAAGCAATACTGCAGCAATATAAACAATAATACAGCAACGGAAGCAATAATACAGCAACAGTAGCAATAATACAGCAACGGAAGCAATAATACAGCAACAGTAGCAATAATACAGCAACAGTAGCAATAATATAGCAACAGAAGCAACACTACAGCAACAGAAGCAATAATACAGCCACAATAACAACAATGCAGCAACAGAAGCAATAAAACAACAACAGAAGCAATAATACAGCAACAGAAACAATAATACAGCAACAAAAGCAATACTACAGCAACAATAACAATAATACAGCAACAAAAGCAATACTACATCAACAATAACAGTAATACAGCAACAGAAGCAATAATACAGCAACATAAGCAATATTGCAGCAACAATAACAATAATACAGCAACAGAAGCAATAATACATTAACAATATCAATAATACATCAACAGTAGCAATACTACAGCAACATTAACAATAATACAGCAACAGTAGCATAAAACAGCAACAGAAGAAGTTATACAGCATCGGAAGAAATAATACAGTATCAGAAAAAATAATACATCAACAATAGCAATAATACAGCAATAATAGGAAACATAGTAACATCAACATAGTAACAGTGACATCAACATAGTAACAGTGACATCAACATAGTAACAGTGAAATCAACATAGTAACAGTGACATCAACATAGTAAGAGTGACATCAACATAGTAACAGTGACATCAACATAGTAACAGTGACATCAACATAGTAACAGTAACATCAACATAGTAACAGTAACATCAACATACATAACAGCAACATCAACATACATAACAGTAACATCAACATAGTAACAGTAACATCAACATAGTATCAGTAGCATCAACATTAGTAACAGTAACATCAACATAGGAACAGTAACATCAACATAGTAACAGTAACATCAACATAGTAACAGTGACATCAACATAGTAACAGTAGCATCAGTAACAATAGAAGCAATAGTAACATCACTTCATCAACAGTAACATCAATTCACAACAGTAACAACAGAAGCCACATAATCAATAGTAAGTTCAATGCATTAATAGTAACATAACTATAGCAACAGTAACAACAGAAGCAAACGGGAAAAAATCAATACATCAACAGTAACATCAATACTTCAACAGTAACATCAATACATCAACAGTAACATCAATACATCAACAGTAACATCAATACATCAACAGTAACATCAATATAGCAACATTAAAATAGATAAAAACGACAACAATACCAATTCATCAACAATAACATAATATTAGCAACGGTAACAACAGAAGCAACAGGAATCATCAACACATCAACAGTAACATCGATATAGTAACAGTACCAACAGATGCAACAGTAACAGCAACACATCAACAGTAACATCACTATATCAACAGTATCATCAATGCATCAACAGTACTATAAATACAGCAACAGTTACAACAGAGGCAATAGTAACATCAATTCATTAACTGTAACATCAATAAAGAAACAGTAACAATAAAAGCAACAGTAACAACAGAAGTAACAGTAACATCGATACATCAACAGTAGCAACAGAATCAACATCAACCTAGAATCAGAAACATTATTTCCGCAACACTGGCAGTCAACATATCAATAGTAGCATCAATATAGCTATCAATATAGCACCGTTCCTTCTATTGTTATAACACTAACACTAACAGACACAGTAACACAGTAACACACAACACAGGAATGTTGAGAATGATTGTTTTTCCGGACAAGCAGCGTTGCTTGCAATACTTTGGACCGTTGACTACATCAATTTTTTGTTTTTCATTATGAACAAGGAAATTGCATTATACAGGGTATGGTCATAGATATGGACTTGAGTATGGATAAGCGTATAGATCTGGGTATGGACCTGGGTACAAGTCTTAATACTGATATGCGTATAAACCCACGAATGGGCACGGAAATGACTAGGGACATAGATAAAGTTTGGATACGGACATGAGGTACGGAGCCTAATGTATAGGTGTTGATGTGGAGGCTAATGTTCAGGTGTTGATGTGGAGGCTAATGTACAGGTGTTGATGTGGAGCCTAGTGTTCAGGTGTTGATGTGGAGGCTAATGTACAGGTGTTGATGTGGAGGCTAATGTACAGGTGTTGATGTGGAGGCTAATGTACAGGTGTTGATGTGGAGGCTAATGTACAGGTGTTGATGTGGAGGCTAATGTACAGGTGTTGATATGGAGGCTAATGTTCAGGTGTTGATGTGGAGGCTAATGTACAGGTGTTGATGTGGAGCCTAATGTACAGGTGTTGGTGTGGAGCCTAATGTACAGGTGTTGGTGTGGAGGCTAATGTACAGGTGTTGATGTGGAGCCTAGAGTACAGGTGTTGATGTGGAGCCTTATGTACAGGTGTTAATGTGGAGGCTAATGTACAGGTGTTGATGTGGAGCCTAGTGTTCAGGTGTTGTTGTGGAGCCTAGAGTACAGGTGTTGATGTGGAGCCTTATGTACAGGTGTTGTTGTGGAGCCTAATGTACAGATGTTGATGTGGGTTTGCACATGGATGAGGACCTTAATGTTGACTTGGACATGCACAAGTATGTGGGACTGGTTGTAGATCTGGATATGGCCAAGGGTATAGGGCTGGGTATGGTCCAGCATGTGGGACCAGGTATGTTCCATGATATAGACAAGAGTATGGAACTAGGTATGGTACAGGACATAAATTCAATAGTGTTAAGTAGGGGATAGACAAGACCATAGAACTGGGTATGGTCCAGGATTTAGACATGACAATAGAGCTGGGTATGGTCCAAGATAAGGCCAAATATATAGGACTGGATATGGACAAATGTATAGACAAAGGCGTAGAGAGAGGTATAGACAAAAGTATGGACAAGGGGCATAGGATTGGGTTTAGTTCAAGATATGGACGAAGACTGAATGTACTACTGTAACCAGTTAAGAATTGTTCTTATTTTATGCAGCCCTGTTTCCTCAACTTGTTTGTACACCTGACAAGGACACCTGTACTATCAGTGAACATCTGAACTACCTGTGTACATTAAAGTAGTACTATGAAACACGTGTTCTGCTAGAGCAGTACTTGACACATTTAATAATAACAAACAACTTAGGGGGACACTTGTGTACTCTTGGCGACAGAGAACTTCAAGAAAACCTTCAAATGTCGACAGAATGGAGTATGAAGAAGAGAGAGTGGGGAGGGAAGGAAGAGTTTGGAGGCAGCTGTGGGAGAGGCAGGAGCAGCGGTTGTCACGGCAAGAGGGTGGCAGGACAACTGAAGTCAGGACCTGCACACTACCCGCCCAGTAGGGCACAAGCTCCGCCTTCAGCTCCGCCCCCTCCGCCTCCTCGACCTGTCACGAGTCGCTTGTTCTTTCATCCCACAACTGTGTCTCTTATGCTGAACAATAACTCGAGGAACAGCTTGAACATCCTTGTTTGAACGAAACACTGTGGTTCTCGTCCTCAGTGTTGTTATGGTAATAAGGGTTTAATTGATCCACGGATGTGAGCCAATCAGGAGACACTGGTTACCTTATTAATGCGATATAAACCTGTATATAGGGGGGCTCGGTGACCTGTATGGATGCCCTCAAGGCCAGCCAAACGTGCAGTATGGCCGAAACTCGCGCTGTACTGCCAGGATAGCGCAGCTGACCGCATACAAGGGAGGAATGATAGCCGGCATGGCTGTGATAGGGCAGCCGGTGTGACACTCGGGCTCCCTTGTGTAGGGCTCTTCAAGCTCCGCCCTCCCGAGGCCCCGCCCCCTCCTCCAGAGGCCGAGTATATAGTGTGGTCGCTGCCCCAACTTGGGCAGTGTCATCAAGTCCAAGATGATAGGAGTATACATATTAAGACAGCTGTACGAGGTGGCGGAGGTGGTGATTCTTCAGTACCTCTGCCATGTGTTGGTCTTCATGACAGTTCTGCTGGCCACCCGCTTTTACCTGGGCTCTCCGTCCCGTCCGCTTCCCCCTGGCCCATGGGGAGTTCCTGTCCTGGGCTACCTGCCCTTCCTCACTAAGGATATTCACATCGCCTTGTTGAACCTCTCCAGAAAGTTCGGATCCGTCTACCGCCTGAGCTTCGGTAACAAGATGCTGGTCATCCTCACCGACCCCAAGATCATACGTGACGCCTTCAAGCGGGAAGAGTTCCACGCTCGACCCTCCAGCGCTCTCTACGACATGTTCGACGGCTATGGTGAGAAAAACGGCTCTTCTATCCCAGGCTTCTATCCAGGCTTCTATCCAGGCTTCTAACCTCACAATGCATTTTGACGAGCACATACGCTACACTCAGTTGTCCTTCACTCTCAGCTGCCCTTCACTTTTCTCAATGGAACGTCTCCCCCCAGTGCAGCTGTTGGTTTGTTTACATTTTTAGCTTAACAAAAGCATCTGCCTCCTTTTCCTCAGCTGCTTTGAACGTGGAAACTCATTCCACTTGATTACTAAACAGTGTCTAGAAAGTTGTCCTAAAGCGCTTGGCTGCATATTTGTAGGTCAAGCACATATCAACCACCTCTAGGCTTAGGACTGATTCTCAGACAGTATTAGGTAAAATTTGAATATTACCTCATTGCGGGGATTAATTTAATTATCAAATACTTTAAAGACAGCTGTTCAAGTGTCACAGTTGTCATTCTATTGTGTCGAGTACATCTGCTGTAGATGTTTGTAGGGTGTGGAGGGTAGTTGAGCCCGACACTGAGTGCAAGTGCATCATCATCACGTCCAGCCACAGCGGCTACTATGATGATGCTCTGGGAAACTCTTACGCGGGAAAGAGCCTCTCCCAGCTTCCCTGTGTATAAACAAAGATGAGAGGAAGGTCGGGTTGCGCCCTTATAGATTCAGGTGAAAGTGCCAAGCAAGTAGGCACCATTTTGTCCACTTAAAAGTGAGAGTGACCTTCACCTCCGATTCCTTGCTCTGTTGTAAAAATAAATAGTTACTTTTGACAATTGTGTATTGGAAAAAAATCGAAATATATTATGTGAGTCGCGTGTTGTTATTAGAGACAAGTTAAGCTTGAAAATAAACTTTATTATCTTCAATGTATGTGAGCAATAGGCCAAAGTCGAGATCTAGTGCGTCCGAACAGTTTCAGAGCCGGTTACACCACATTTTACTGGATAAACTTGAACTCAAGGGTCAGATAAATGTTGCTTTGTATTGTTAGACAATTTTGTTGCTTACACACACACACACGCACACACACACACGCACACACACGTAGGAAGCCTTCTGCAACAGCGTGATAATGGCTAACGTTCCCTTTCTCTGGTCCTCAGGTCTGGTTAACACCTCCGGAATAACATGGCGGAACCAGAGACGCTTCCTGCACGAGCGCCTCAGAGCCCTGGGCATGAAGACCACGGGGCCCGGCCGGGAACAGATGGAGGTCCGGATAATGGTGAGTCACGTACACAGTGGCGTGCGTGTTATTGTCCACCAACAACACCACCGCTCAACCGTGCCCAAAACACTCATACCCAGAATGATTGTTGTGGTTATAAATGAAATGAATACAGAACGAGTTTATAGAATTTTTGTTTTTGAGAAAAGATAAGGTTTTAATTGTTGTTTTTTTACCTCTGCAGAGTGAAGTGGAATGCTTCCTACAGTGTCTGGCGACAGGCAAGGGCAAGGCTATGGAGGTCGGGGAGCTCCTCTGCAACGCCTCCACCAACGTCATGTGCTCACTCCTCATGTCAGTTCGGTTTCGCCCTAACAACCCCAATTTCCTTCGCTTTATGGAGCTCCACGACGAGGGCTTCAAGCTGTTCCTCAAGTGCGACATCACCAGCTACATCCCCGTCAGCAAGTACATCCCCTCCGTCAGCGAAAACTTCCAGAAGCTGATCCAGAGCCGAGACGAGTCAGGGGAGATGATCAGAGAGATCATCCAGCAGCGGAGGGAGACCTTCGACCCCAGCCACACGGGAGACATCCTCGACTGCTACCTTCTGGAGGAGCACCGAGCCAAGGAGGAGGGAAGAGTTCCATTTGAAGGAAAAGACTTCGGTAAGTTATTCACTCTGAAGCGTGTCACCAAATGCTTGCTAATGATTTGCTTGATTCCATAATACAGTTTTACAAAGTTGACTCTCGGTATAATAATATAAACTATTATACCTCATACACACTGCTCAGTTAATGGCACAGGTGTACAGTAACACTACACTTAATCTTCACTCTTGTCATTATTGCTTATAAATCTTGAAAAGCTAAATCGTGCTATTTTTTACTTACATTGTTAAGTTATTACACGTCGTTGATGTGCACAAACGAATAACGAAGTTAATATGGCTATTTTTTCTGTGTTACAGACCGACAATTGGTGCAAGTGATGACCGACATATTCAGCGCCGGGGAGGAGACGGTGAAGACGTGCTTGCTGTGGTCGCTGGTGTACCTGTTGCGTCATCCGAAAGTCATGCATAAAGTGCAGGAGGAGTTGGACGCCGTGGTGGGCCGGTCTCGCATGCCCTCTCTGGACGACCAGCAGCACCTGCCCTACACGGAGGCCACCCTCTGTGAGGTCCTGCGCCGCTCAACGGTCGTCCCTCTGGGAACTTTTCACGCCACGACTCGCGACACCACTCTGGCGGGCTACACCATCCCGAAGGGCGCCACTGTCATCCCGCTCCTGTACGCCTGCCACATGGACTCTCAACTCTGGGATGAACCGGAAAGATTCGATCCAACTAGATTCATCGACGCAGAGGGTCGAGTTAAGAAGCCAGAACAGTTTATTCCCTTCGGCGTCGGTCGACGCATGTGTCTCGGCAATGTTCTCGCTCGAAGTGAGCTCTTCCTCTTCTTCACCTCTATCCTTCACGTCTTCAACTTGGCGACACCGGAGAACGAGCCACAACCCAGCATGGAAGGCATCCTTGGCACGACCTACACGCCACAACCATTCAAGGTAAGAGTCAAGTGCTCAATGTCAGATCTAGAAAATTAAATTCTTTCTCCAAGAAACATAAATTAGCAACTACGCTTGTAATAACTTGCTCTCTTTTACTCTAAAGTCTTTGTCAGAAAATATTACAAAATGTGTCTCCTTTTGGTTACTAATTTTTGTTTCATTTACTTACAGCTGTCGTTCATTCCTCGCGAGGTGTCGAAAATCGGCAACATCGACATGCAGTCGCACGAATTCAGAGCAGCTGGACTCTGAGGTAGCTGACCTGTATGGCCTCTCTTCAGCAGAGCACACAATGTGTGCTTAGATTGTGCTACCCCCTGACAGTTCCTACATATGTGACTCCTGACCCATCCAGCGGTGCATACACGACACGTGAAGCTGCAAGCAAGCTGGACAGCAGTCGGGAGGGAGGCTACGAATCTGAGGGGACCTGTTACTAGAATGTTGGCGTGAAAGCCAAGAAGACAGACAAGAGGTTGAAGAGGCTGCCCCTGTCGCTAATGAAGGCAAGATGATACGCAGGAGGTTGTAGAGGCCGTCTCTCTCGCCGCCTGCAGACAAGAATATCACCAAGAAGGTGTAAACATGAGCGTCCTTGCCTCGTGAAACCAGGAAGACCCACCAAAGACAGCTTGCCGAGTCGTACATACGATCCGGCGGCTTATCTGTGATATGTTTGTAGATGTTTAATAATATTGTGTTGTGTAGATGTCGGTTCTTGTGGCTCTCTGTACTGTAAGATTAGTGTTTTTTAATAGAGACTCAGGCGCAATGATGTTCCTTTTAGTCAGATGATGGAGAAACGTAAAATAGAGAACCTATAGACACATGTCTCTCATCTTGGCTACGTGGGGTCGACCCTCCACGCCTCAAGGTGCCGACGTACAAACAGAGCACACAAGTTACTGCTGTTTACACTTATAAACCCGTATATTATATATATATATATATATAGAGGTAAGCAAGATTTTGTTTGTTTGTAGATACATTGTTTGGAGCTTAGTTTTAGGAACTAAGTTTCAAACTCAACTGTAACAGCAGCGGTGTATTAATTGCTGTTGACTCCTGCTCAAGACTGTGCTCAACTAACTTATAAGTAGATTTTTTTTTTGTATGGATCCCACGCTCACACACACACACACACACCACACACACACACAACACACACACACACACACACACATACATACACACACACACACACACACACACACACACACACACACACCACACACACACACACACACACACACACACACACACACACACACATACATACATACACACTCACACACACACACACACACACACACACGCACACACACACACCACACACACACACACACACACACACACACACACACACACACACACACACAATCACACACACACACACACACACACGCACACACACACACACACACACACCACACACACACACACACACACCACACACACACACACACACACGAACACACCACACCGTGTGTGAACAACCGATGGCTCGAAAGGCAGGATCCAAGAGTCAAAGATCGATCCTGCAGGCACAAATAGGTGAATACAAATAGATGAGTGCATACACACACACGGTATGAGGTATGAGCTACGAGGAGAGACTACGGGAATTAAACCTCACTTCGCTGGAAGACAGAAGAGTTACGGGGAGGGGGGGGGGGGCATGATCACCACATGCAAGATTCTCAATGGAATTGATAGGGTAGATTAAGACAGGTTGTTTAACACAAGGGGTTCACGCACTAGGGGGACACAGGTGGAAATTGAGTGCCCAAATGAGCCACAGAGATATTAGAAAGAACTTTTTTAGTGTCAGAGTGGTTGACAAATGGAATGCATTAGGAAGTGATGTGGTGGAGGCTGACTCCATACACAGTTTCAAGTGTAGATATGATAGAGCCCAATAGGCTCAGGAACCTGTACACCTGTTGATTGACGGTTGAGAGGCGGGGCCAAAGAGCCAGAGCTCAACCCCAACAAGCACAACTAGGTGAGTACCCACACACACACACACACACACACACACACACATACACACACACTCACACATCGCGCCCCACCACGCCCCCCCCCGCCCCACCACGCCCCCACCACGCCCCACCACGCCCCCTTCATGCCCTCCC